ATCTTAAACTTTGACACTTATAGCAGAAAACAGAGGAAAAAAATCTTCATGACAAGATTTAGGAAAGGATTTATTCAACAGAACGTAACAAGCACAATCAATAGAAATATTGGAATGGGTTTCAGCAAAATAAAATCATTTGAGCCAGGCATGATGCAATACTCCTGTAATCTCAGTGACTCCTGAGGCTGAGGCAGGAGGATCACAAGTTTGAGGCCAGCCTCAGCAACTTAGAGAGAACTTAGTCTCAAAATAAAAATTAAGAAGACTGGTTTTGTAGTTTAGTGGTAAAATGTCCCTTGGTTCAATCCCCAGTACCTAAGTAACAACAGCAATAATAATAAACAAAATCAATAGAAAATTCAAATTAAATGAGAGGCTATTACATTTCCATTAGAATGGATAATCAAGATAAATTTGTCAACAACAATAAAAAAAATGAAGCAAATCTGATTATGCCAAGTCTTACCAACACCATGTTCAGTGTTTTGACTGATGATGTTTCTACAGGTGTGAAAATCAGGTACAATTCCTCCATTTGTACATTTTTAATAGATTCATATATAAGTTATACCTCAATAAAGTTGATCAAAAATATAATCCAATGGAAGAATAAAATAGTTCATTATCTTGATGAAAGACCAAAGAAAAAGATGCTTAGGTACTTATGAAAGATGACATTCACATCGTAAGTGGAGCTGGATCAGACTATTTTCTCTTCTAATGAGATCATACTGCTGCGACTTGAATGCAGGATTGAAGGGGAGGAAGAACAAGCAGGGAAAGAAATGTCTGAGAATTTATCTCAGCTTCCCCATAGTGACATACAAACCCTTCCCCAGAATGGCCAGGACCTGTCTTGCTTCTGGCCGTGAGTGAGTGTGGGTTCTCTACTGAAAGCAAAACAGGCCTGGGGGGCGGCAGTGATATCCTGGGGATCCAAGTTCTTTGCTCTCAGGGCGGCTTGGCAGGGCTGGGAGCTGGCACTTTTAGTTGTTGGTAATGTTGGACAGGGCACCCTGCATTGGCATTGTGAACTGGATCCTGCAGATTTGGGCACTCTCTTCTCACTTTCCAGTTTTCCGTTCGTTCCTCCGTCCTTCTTGCGGAAGCCTCTATGTCTGGGATTTTGGCTGCACGCGTTCCCCAGCTCACGCACATTACTATTTCCTCATTTCATAGGTGGAGAGACCGCTGCTCAGACAGGGTTAGTGCCTTGTCTGTGGGAGTGGATCTTGGGGCATTCGCAGGCTCAGGTTCTGTGCACTTGGGTTGCGTGCTCTGGCCGGGTCCACATGTTGTCTTTCTATTCCCACGGAGATGTGAACATTCTGTGTTTCCTTTTTCTGGCAAGAGTTTGGACTCTGCAGGGTTGCTCATCTCACAGCACTTCCCTCTCAGTACAGGAAGAGGGAGGCACTTCACGCCACTGGGTTATCCTCACGTTTGGTTTGTATTCTGGAGTGGATGAAATGCAGGGTCTCAGCCTCAGCTGAAATAGTGTTAAAATGGGATTCACTTCCATCTCTAAGGAACTATTTCTATTTCTGTCTCTTTAGTAATTTTCCCATTGCAGGTGAAGAGTTAAGATTATATAAATCAATTGAAAGAGAAACTTGAACTATGTGGGATCCCAGTGCATTGGCCTTTTGTAGACTTGACCCTCCAGGAGGAAAGCAAGTACTGGTGGTTCTTCCCACGAGATCACAGTCAGGAACATTTGCCCATCTATCTTTTTGGTCACTCGTGAGGATCCACAGTGTTTGTAACAGCTCTTTGGACGTTTTCATCTCTGGTCACAGGAAGCACCATGGCCTTTAGCTATTATTTGACTTATTAGTGCTGCAAACTCTAGCTGCTGCTTCGGCTGCCGGAGGACCCGGGGCAATGCCACTAGAATACTTGTTGGGTTGAAGTTCTGAGGCATGGCAGTTGTGCTCGGCTCCAGCAAAAGCACCAAACTTCAGTTCTCTTTAGGAGGAGAGAAAATTTCCCAGGGGAGTAGACCTGGGTTTAAGGGGAAGCCTTGACTTCCAATCTCATTTCACCATGTGCCTCGCTCTGGGGCATCAGGCACATTTGTGACTGCCCCATTTGCCACGGTATGACCTTGTTATGGTTTAGATCTTTAATGTCTCCTGAAAGCTCAAGTTTTGAAAGCATGATTCCCGATGCAGAAAGGTCCAGAGGTCTGACTTTTGGGCAATGATGAGAGCTGTAACCTCATCAGTGGATTAATCCCCTTGATGGATTAATAATAACTGGAGGTAGGTGGGGTGTGGCTGGAGGAAGTAGGTCACTGGAGGGGCAGGTCCTAGGCATACATCTTGCCCCTGGCTTCTCACAAGCTTTCTCTCTCTGCTTTCTGGGTGCCATGAACGGAACAGCTTTCTTCTGAATGCCCTGTGGCCATGATGTCCTGCCTCAGCTCAGGCCCACAGCCAGCTGACCATGAACTGAAACTCTGAAACCCTGAGCCCCAAACAAACTCTTCCTTCTCTAAGTTGTTCTTGCCAGGTATTTTGGTCACAGTGATGGAAAACTGACCAACACAGGACCTTACGATGCCCATGAAGAACAGAACCCTGGTGTTCCTGGATTCTTGACTGAAGTACCATGTTAGTGCCATCCAGATATCGATGGAAGCCTTAGTCTTCTAGTTATGGTTAAGTATTAACTGAGTTGGTGTAATCAAGGTATCTTTAAGTGCTATTTTGCAAAATTTGGTGATCTGAGATGAATTATGTCCCCCTCCCATCAAAATTCACACACTTATTAAAACTATATGTACATTTAACTACCTATACCTCAGAATGTGACTGTATTTGAAGATAGGGCCTATAAAGAAGTAAAGTGCTGTCATTAGAGTGGGCCCTAATCCAGTGTGACCAGTGAGTGTCCCTATAGGTAGGGGAAGCTTAGAGACAGACACACATAGAAGGAGGACAACGTGAAGAACACACCATCTGTGCCAAGGAAGGGGCCTGGAACAACCCTCCCTCACAGACCTCAGAAGGAGCCAACCCTGCAACACCAGATCTCAGAGCAACAATAGCTACCTGCTGGCCACACCACCTGCTCTGTGGTACTTGGGTTAGCAGCCCTTGCAAATGAATGTATGGAAAATCCCAACTGAAAAAGTCATGGCCCCATGGATGGAAGCGGGGTTCCCACACCACACAATACCTGAGATGGTAACCGCACCTTCTCCTCCACTCTTAAAGAGTAACGAGGATGATATTGCTGACTGCCAGGAGCCATAAGCGTCTGTCAACAGCGTGGTTCACATGTGCCGGGGAATGCCAGGCTCACTCCCACTTCGTATTTTTAATTTTAATTATTTATTTATTTTTAGTGGTATTGGGAATTGAACCCAGGGCCTCATGCGTTCTGGGAAAGAAAGAATTCTTGCCCCTACTTTTTTTTTTTTTAATATTTATTTATTTATTTATTTATTTTAAAGAGAGAGGTGAGAGATAGAGAGAGAGAGAGAGAGAGAGAATCCTTGATATTTATTTTTCAGTTTTCGGCGGACACAACATCTTTGTTTGTATGTGGTGCTGAGGATCGAACCCGGGCCGCACGCATGCCAGGCGAGCGCGCTACCGCTTGAGCCACATCCCCAGCCCTTTTTTTTTTTTAAATAAAGAAATTTGGAAATGATTTCCACAAACTGGGTAAGATCCCATGTAGCTCAGGTCAGTGGTAAAGTGGGAACACATTTGATGCTTCCTAACTCGTAGTCTTAGCGACCTTTTGAAGGGAATTCTCTGATTCCCATTAAGAAGTTACTAAAACCATAGTGGAAGATATGTTTATTTACATATATATCTATAAATCTCTCTATGTAACTATATATACATTTTATCAAATAGTGAAATACTTAGCATAGTTCTTGCAGATGGTGAATGCTAAAATTATTTTTTTGCTGTAAATGATGAGAGCTGTAACCTCATCAGTGGATTAATCCCCTTGATGGATTAATGATAACTGGAGGTACGTGGGGTGTGGCTGGAGGAAGTAGGTCACTGGAGGGGCAGGTCCTAGGCATTATATCTTGTCCCTAAATTGTGCTAAATTCTGGAAAGGCCTTGCTCTTCTTCAGTTAGCGGTCACATGGGGAGGATCTGCCCCATTACAGGGACTAAATAGAGTATTTTTAATATCAGGGCTGAGCAGTTGCCTTGAGCAATCTGCTTTATAATGTGGTTAACACTGTGCAACATTATTAATAAATCACCTTTGAAAAGAAGGGATCTTCATTATTCTGTAGTTAGCCAACACAAAAATATTACTGTAACATGTCAAAAGTATACACAGTATTTTGTGAAAAAAAAATTGACAAAATAAAGAGAGCTAAAGTTCACTACTCTAAGATATTGGATAAATATCTTTATCACTGACCAGGAAAATTCTAATATGTCACATGTTTTATCATTATACTTGGTAACAATTAAGCAAATCGAGCATCAATAAAAATGAGGTAAGATAGGTAAAAGCACTGAAAAGCCTAAAACACTTGAAATGGAAAATTTTGCATTTATTATACTACACTGTATTGGCATACTAAATTTTTCTGGCCTCTGAATGACTGCCCATTGAAAAAGTGGCTTATAGTGGGCACTTTCTTATGGTTTTGCAAACTCCCAGACACCAGGGCTGAGTCTTCCTGAGCGCAGGTACCCAGGCTGGCCTGTTGGTCAGGTAGTCAGTAAGTGCTTGCTGAATGAACCAGGGTGTGAGTAAATTTCTTGGTAGATTCTATTCATTAAGGGAGAGGAGGTAACAAGTCAGTAAGAACCAGGATTGTGGTGGCTCATGCCTGTAACCCCATCAACTCAGGAGGCTGAGGCAGGAGGATTGTAAATTCAATGCCAGCCTCAGCAACTTAGTAAGATCCTGCCTCAAAATAAAACATAAAAAGAACTGGGGATGTAGAGGACCCCTGGGTTCAGTCTCCAGACCTAAAAAAAAAAAAAGAAAGAAAGAAAGAAAGAAAATTTTCACTTGCAAATAAGAAAGGTAATTTATTGTAGTGAAATTACATTGAAGTTTTGTATATGATCCCCAATGCATATAAAATCATTTACCTCCAAACTGTTGCATGACACCATTGAACCACAAAGAAAACTCAAAGTGCTCTAAGTGAGTTAATATTGACGTAATGTGTTTCCACTAATCTATCCTAATTTAATTAGATCATTAAAAGGACTTATTTAAGTATTTTCGTAATTTTCTTTATGGTCTTTTTTTCTAATGTTTTTTGACAACTCTGAACGCTGAACTCTATTTCTGTCTTCTGCTGTGGTTAGTTAATAAACAAACCTCCTTAGTAGAGTAAATATACACTGACGATTTAAACATTTTTCCCTAGATGGAATTGATGGAAAATGTGAAAATTGGCATGACATTTGAGGCAACATTAAAAAAGCAAAGAAGATTTTAAAACACTAACCCACAAAAATATGCCCGGGGGGGGGGGCAAAGAATAGCAACGTACCACAAGACACAAATAAATGCATTCAGGCATTGGGTAGACAGTCCTTGCACCTAACACCTGTCTATAATACATTTTATACATTTGCTACATATTGCACAAATCCAGGTATGCACAGAAACTCTCTGAAGTGCCACCATGCCGCTGTCCTCGTGGAGGGCTCTATACAACTTTCTGAAAGAGCTTATTCATGACTTTTTTGAAGACAATCTACAAGCAGTTCTTTCTGTAGTTACATATTTACAGAGATGCCACCAGCTAGTCATGGCCGATGGCCTTCCTTCCTAAATGTAGGATTCTCTAGCATATTGGAGTTGGTCAGCCTCAAAGATGGGCTGGCTACATCGTCGCCTGAGATAGTCCTGCTTGTCCTTCTGCATAAACTCGGACACAGTCCTTAGCCTGGTAAGCTCAGGCCTCCCGGGTGTGGTCCCAGGCTCTTGAGTTTCCCCAGAGGGACTCACAGTCCCACCCTGTTCCCAACACGCAGTCATGGAAGACAGGCTGCGTCCACTAAGTGCTTCTTCATGGCAGACAATCCTGGAGCCTCCTCCATGGTGAGAGGGCAGAAGAGGTGGCGGCGTGGAGTCCTGGCTCAGCATTCTCGCCCGCATACTTCCCACGGTCTGGCTGCCATAGGCTAAGAGTCCAGACGCCTGGCACTGAATGGCCTCTTCATAAGATGGCGGGCTTCCTGGGCTCCTCTGGTCAACCATCTGGAACACGTCATTGACTGAGGGGGCCCCAGGTGGCAAGCCACAGCCTGCAGCTGCTTGGCTGTAGACGTCAGGTCTGCCCTCCTGGACGATCCTTCCAGCAAGCTGACTTTCTTTTCTCACGCCCTTCTTGACTTGGTCTCTGGTAAAGTCTTTGGGTTTCCCAGTCCCACAGCTCGGGGTCTTGGGCAGCACTTTTTTGTGAGAGGCAAAGGAAAATGACAGGGAGTGCTTTTTAATTTCTCTGCTGGGCTTGCTTTTCTCAGTCTTCACGGTGAAAGACTGGTGTCTGGTGAAGAAATTTTTTGGGGGACAGGAAGGAGAAGCTGTTGGTGAATTGTCAGAGGACCCACCCAGGGAGCCGCTGGAGAAGGCTTTGGGTCCTGGTCCCTGCAGCAAAGGCAAACTCTGGGTTGAGTTCTTGATCATCAGGTCCATTGGTCTCTTGGCTCTGCCTTCTACTGCAGGGAAGACCTCCTCTGGAAATGGGTCTTCGGTGTCCTCGCTTTCCAAATGAGGGCTTGCCTGTGGCACGGTGAAGTCATCCTCACTTTTGGTTAGTTTTTGGTTTGTCATCCGGCTCTCAAGGCACTCTTGTGAGGGTGGCATGCCGGGTTCTGAGAACCTCCTGTCTGCCTGGTTGATGGAGCGTTTCAGTCTGGCTACTGTGCTCACAATGGGCTCTGGGCATAACTCACAGGTGTCCTGGGGCCTTCTGTTGTCCAGACCAGCAGCCATGGCTGTGGGAACCTGGGGCTGCTTTCTGGGATTGTGGATGGCACTGGTGGGTTCAAAGTCAGGATCATAGCTGTCGTAGGCTGAGTCATTCTGCAGGGTCGACATGTCTGGGGAAAGTTAATGAAGAGTTGAGCTTTGTGTTCAAGTTCTTTAAGAAATAATATTTACTAGAGCCCACCCTATTCATGCCCAATATGGTTCTAGGTGATTTGGTGGAACTGTTTTGGAGCGTGATATGACAAGAAATTTATCACATTAAAATTTTGTTTCCAAATTTATTTCAGATGGGAAGAAGTAAAGAAGAAAGAGGAAATGAATGAGGGAGGGAGGAGGAAAAAAGGGAGAGGGAAAGAGAGAAAGAGTAAGGAGAAGAAGGAAGAAGGACAGTCTTCACTGAATTTTTTTATTTTATTTTAAATCTTAAAACCAATCCTTTGAATGGCTCCTTTGTAGGATCCATTTCCATTTTAATAGACTTGTACTTCATTATGTAGAGACTAAAGTTTCTTACCCAGATACATAGTTCAAGGTTACTTAGTAAAGTTAGCAGTTATTTGAGATCTAGAATATGAAGGAGAAAAGTTTCAGACTCAGGCTAAAAGAGTGACGGAAGAGATATTAGAAAGAAATTTGGGAGCAAGGTTGTCAGGTTTCCTGACTTTCCTACAGACTCGAGGCCAGTCTGATTGGTGATTATAAAGGCAAATTCTTTAAATACCAGGGAGACTTCACATCACTAGTATGGACTGGCACAAATTTCTCCCCAGGATCACAATCGAATGACAGCACATTCTATACCTGAACTGTCGGTGTGTTCCAGAGAGTCATCAGAAGTGATGCTGGAATGAGCTGGAATGTTCTCCCCGAATATCTCAAAGCAGTTGTCGATGAGGAATTCCACCAATGTCTTTACCTTTGGGGTAAAAAAACAAGCAGATCATAAACTTTAGGGCCATTTGCTTTAGGACAGAGGCAAGGAAGGAGGACACACTGGAGTCAACTACTAGGGAGGTGCCCAAATGAGACTAGAGCATACTGGAATTTGGTAACAATATACATTCAAGTTAGATATATGTGTTTTGAGATATGCATTTTTAAATGGAAGAATTTAAAAAAAACTGACTTTAAAATAACTAAGGTATCTGAGTGGACATTTCATAATATTACTGTGAAAATGCAAGAAGTATTGTTTAAGCAGATAGTTTCCCAAATTGGTAGTTGGACTGCCCGAGTGCTTTGGGTCCTGGTCCCAAAGCACAGACAGAAACAAGAGGGCTTCCTACCCAGGGGGTGTGATGTTCTCTGTCTCCAGGAAGACAGGACACAGATTTATTCAGTTTCCTCCACACCTCTAAGAGAGCAGAGCCACAACAATAGCACTCTGCATTTTAGACCTGAACTGTGACCCCGAGTCACTTTGAGAAATCCAGAAGTGTCTCATTGCTTGGCTTCTGCCAAAGAGGGTGAGATCATAAACCAGGGGTTTCTCATAAATAAGCAAAACCAACCTTATTGTTCAAGTCTCTCTGGGCCTCCAATGACAAGTTGTGGTCATTCTCCAGGGTGAGCATGTTGGGGCCGATGCAGATAGCCAGGTTGCTGGAGTCCATCTTGTTAACCTCCGAGTTTTTGCTGATCAGGTGCAACACGTAGACCAGGTGCCTGAGCAGCAGGAGGTTGGGTCGAGGGAGCTGATCTGCAACCCTGGAATAAAGAGAAGGGACAGTAATTTTTAAGGGGGCTGATGGCCTATCCAGCTTTATTGTAGCTTGTTCAAAGCTTCTGCCCAAACCAGACTTCCTTTAAAATGGGGAAGGTGCATTTTCCCAGTAATATTGTGAAATGCCCTTACAGATACTTCAGCAGCAACTGACACGGAATGAGATTGATTAACCACAAGGTTGCTATAACCGTGACACCAGTAGCACTGCCCTTTATTATTTATATGGATCTTAAATTATGAAACAGAGCCTGCATTAAGCACCAGGATGTGCCTTTACGTTTTCAAAACCATTTTGTTGAGTAAGCATTTAACTTTGTAGAAATTCTCTTTGAACATTACAAGATTGATTTTCTTGACTTTTTTTTTTTGAACTGTGAGCACCAAACCAAGATGACCCATTTCTATACCATTCTGAGAATAAGTCAGACTGTCTGGATGTTTCCATAAATGTGGTTCCAGGCAGCGCTTAAATAGAAACATTACTACTAACGACAATCATTGGATTTTGAAGTCTCACTTTTTCAAAAGAATGAAATGGTGACCCCAATATACAGATCCTTCTCATTTCTCAGAAGAATTGTTGTTATCAAAGAGTTTTATGTCTAGGTAGAAAATTATTGTGATAATCTTAGGGTTTTTTTTTTTTTTTTGGTGGTGGTGGGGCAAACACTCTGATGTCTTCATGTCTGCAAAGTTGGCATTGAAAATGTTTAGCTGTGGGGGACATTTCTAATACATAGATAGGCTTCCTTAGGATGTGGCAAAAGTGCTGTCTCCAAGAGGTCACATTGTCATTTATATATGTAATCATTGTGACTCACTGGAATGTCTTATATAGTTTTCCTTTTTGTTAATTATAAGAACAAACAGTGGAATTTTATGAACAAAAAGTCCCATCCAAATGGCTCTCCTACCCTTTACGGGAAGTTTATGGTTGAGTGTCTTGCTCGACACCAATTACTGTAGTTAAGAATAATCCTAATTCCTACTCTCTGCTGATTAGTTTGTGTTAAAGTCTCCACGTTTGATTTTCTCTTATACCTTTTTGAACACTTTATATATTTGGATCCTCCACCCCTTGAACTCTGTAAGTATTAAAGTCATTTTCTATGTTTTGAAGAAGTACTTTCTTCTATTTGGCTAAAACTACTTTTAAAAAATCCAAGGAACCTCCTCTTTTTATCTTGGGAGTGATTGAGCAATTACACTCTAATTTCCCAATCACAATTTCAGGGAAACATGGGTCGCGGTGCACTTGGCCAGTTTTATGAACGGGCAAAAAATGGAGACCCTTGGGCCCTGCCTCCTGACTTCGAGGACTTACTGCTTGAGAGCCTCAATTCTGTCCTCCTCGTTCTGCTTCTCCAGGGCACCCATCCACTCTTCAAAGAGGTCACAGGACAGTAGCTTCAAGGGGATGCTCCGGAGGAAGTCCTGGAGGGGAAAAGTGGGTGTGGCTGTTTACACCTCGTGTTGTTTTGGAGGAATGAAATCTGGGATTGTTAAACCCGTGTGCTTATGAGAAGAATTAAGAGGCTCAGCTACAATGAAACTCCAGTTTCAGCTGTGTGCCTTGTAGGGAGAGGAGCCTGCTCCTTGCTTCCTGTGGCTGTGGAGGCGGAGCCCTCTGACCCAGGTGTGGTGGCTCACCTTGAAGACCACGGCCAGCAGGTGTACGGGCAGCCCTTCCAGGTCCACGGTTCCCCCGCAGTTGAGCGCTTCCTTCAGCTCCTTGCGGGCTTTCTCACTGGCTGCTTTCCTGAATATTCCTTCAGTCGAGGGGCCTTTAAGGCAGAGGATAGCGAGAATATCCTGTGGGAACAGACGTGGGATCAGGAAATGCTGACCCAAGGCTTGGACCCATACTTTGCTGGTACAGATACATGAAAATCTATACAAGTTGGAAAAGAGAATTACGGCAATGTTCATGAATAGTCCCTCAGTTTACCTGTTGTAAAATATCCTTTCCCCCCAAAGCTAATTCTTTTTTTTTATACTAAGATAGTCATAATGAGAGTCTTGAGGCCAGAGCTGGCTCCTAGGGCAGCCACTGCCAACTGTCTCCCTTCACCCTGCTGTTTTTCTAAGAGGTAAATTGTGAAGCGCTCATTTTTCAGTCTAAAATGACATCAGACCTCCCACCTGTCAATACTTCCTTGAAAACATGGGCTCTCTGATCATATCCTCTGTACTCTGTCTCTGCCTGTTGATGTTCAGAAGCTATACATTTCCAGCCTTCTTGCCTCTGTGAAGTCAGAGGAGTGAGGAAGAGACCTTTACCCTGAGCTCACTGGCAAACACTAATTTCTAGATCATAAACTGGCATCTTCTCTTCCAACTGTGCTTGGATGCGGGAGCACCATTTGCAAGAATGGAAAATTCCAAAGCTCAACCCCAATAAGGTTAGTAGGAGAAGCACCCTCATATTATCCAAGGATTTTTCACATGACAGAAACCAAAGCAGGTTTACAAGTGAAGCACACTCACCTGAATGGGTCTGGGCAGGGCGCCGTTCTCATGGCAGATAATTGACAAGGGTTGATCAAATAGTGACACTTTCAGGTCTGGCTCCAAAGTCCCAGAGAAATCTGACGAAGGGGAGAGTCTTCTTATGAGGAAGGGCCAAGACAGAACTTTCTTTCTCTTCTTAACTTCTAGAGACAAGAAAGCATGAGGAAGAGAAAAATCAGCTTACAGGGTTCATAAGCAAGGATCCACACAAGAAAATGGCTGTCGGTCACATACTGGCATCTCTAGTATGCCCTGTGGGGAAATAATTCAGAAAAACTGAGAAAGCAAAGGGCATGACTTTTGATCTAGAAAAACAGTTGAAAAAACAACCACATGGTTACCAGGGCAACCAGCCCTTGTATATCACCCGGAGGTTCCTCATCGTCCCCACCTTTCCTGTTTTTAATCTTCTTCAACTATTTGTTGCAAGAAATTAGCAAAACATAACCTTGCAGGTCATAAACAACCATCTTAAGGTACTAGCCTTAATAACTACAGGGGACATTTATGACTAAATAGATTATTTTAATTCGCTACTTTGGCTGGTGAATGAAAACAAAACTTAACAGGAGAGGAAGTGACTTGCCCAAAATCCTTTAGAAGGTTCTTGGCTGGGCGGGCCACATCAACCCTCGGCAGCCGCACTAGCACTATGTAGTCACTAGAGGGAGCTACACCACTCAGGACTTCTGCTGTCCCCTTGGCTTTCAGGGTGCTACTTTAGGACAGGGGCCCCATGGGTTGCTTTAGGAAGGCTGGAACCTAGTCCTGGCATTTGAAAGTTATCAGCCACACATTATCAGTGTTCTGTTCTTCCAAAATCCAGAGTGTGCAATGACTATTGTATCTCAAAAGTTCCCTTCCTTCTCCTTTTGGCCTAATCATGAAATCTGCATTTTCTAAATGACTGGCATATGTTACCACATGTTTTGTACTGGCAAGTAGAAGCTGGATGAAAGTGAAGTGCCCTGTCCTGAGTCTTCAGGAAAACTGGCTCAGGGTTTATGTTACAATGAAATGCACCGTAAAAATAAATAAATAAATAAGAGCAAATGTAAGTTCTTTGGGATTTGAGATCAACAACAATCGCTTCATGAGCTCTTAGATGCATTCTCCATTAGGGAAGGAAGAACACAGAAAAGGCACTGTGTATTTTTCAATGTACACATGCTGTGACCATCAAAACAAATGGCCAGGAGATTTGTCAGCCCCACTAAAAACCCCTTGCATTGCGGAGTTTGCCTGTAAGAGGATCTCTCTACTGACGGTGCTCGCTGTTCTAGTGAGCTGGAGCACGCCGGCCAGTTAAGGGTTAATGTTCTGCGGTCTTTAGGAGAACAGTTATAAAAAAAAATTCCTAGTAGAGTAAAATACTGTGGTTTTGCAAACCAAGAGCACTGGTCGTTAGCACTTGCAGAAAAGATCAGTATTTTTCAAAACTCACCAATTAGCTGGCAAATGCTGTCTTCACTCGCACATGATGCCAACAACAGGGGATGTTCCTTGATGTCACCCTAAAAATATAAATCATGTATAAATCAGTATAAATCATGACTGAAGAAATCTATTCAGTCTTTCTCCACAAAACACACACACAACATTTTATTCATCTTAACAATTAGGTCAATAGAGTGTTTTGATTTTTCTAGTAAGAATCAGTATCATAGGAGATCTCAATTAATATGTTTAATTTATTGTATTTATCATGTTCATTTCTGACTGATAATCAAACAGCCTAAATAATATTCAATTAAAACAGAAAGCTTTTCATCTTCTGGTAATACAAATAAGAAGTTTAAAAAAATCACTTCCTTACCTCTGACTGACATTCAATTAATGTCTCCATGTTACCGGCACTTAGTGTTTTTGACTAAAAGAGAAAAAAATAAAATAAAATTAAGTAAATGTCTTTTGGCTCTTGCCTCTAGAAAATATGAATGAGCAGATGTAAAATGGGCACATACCGCATCGAAGTTGCTTCTCAACCTCATTGGTATCTGGGCTGGCTTTTTAGGGATGGATTTCACTTCTGGGGGACCTTGACTCTGTCTACAATAAATCACATGGAAAAGAATAAGTTGGCCAATTTCAGTGCCTCTTTGCCAAAGCGGAGTTTGAAACTGTTAGAAAAGTTTTCATTCAGCCTGTTACCAAATGTCAGATGCCACTAAGAACAGTATTTGATTGCACTTATTTCTAAAACCTTAAACCAGATGTCCTTACCATCCCGAACTTTGCTATTTATTATTATATCCTCAACAAGAGATCGGCTGAATATTAATTCCAATAACAACTACCCTTTTTTCTGGAGTGCTCTCAAGTACTATATTAATTGCTCCGTATTAATTTTTTTCATCCAACTCAAAAAGTATAAAATGTATATCCAGGATGCTATGTATAGTAAGCACGAACCAAAGATAACATTTAAAGAATTCCTACTCCCTAAAAGTGCCACCTTCACATTGAAGCCAAGCATTCCATGTTTGGAGCTTTTTAAACACGGGCGTACCCTCCGCATCGCCGTTGTCTGTTGCACGTCATTTCAGGGAGCTGTGACCTGGGAGGCAGCTCGTTTTCTCGTCCTGTTAATCTATGTACTTACCCTCGGAGGGTCTCTGGCCAGAGTGCTTTTATCTCGGGTGCGCTGTGGGAAAGGAGAGACACGGCATGTCACTCCGCTCTGGCTAACCCACTGGCAGAGGGACTGACCTGCTCTAACTTCATGTGCTGTGCGTTATAAACTGCAGGGGCGGGCAGGTGGAAATTCACAATATTGCTGGGACCGGAAGGAACATCACGGGCTGTCACACAGACCGAGCCAGCCAGACACTGCTCAGTTCTCATTTCCTCATTCCTTTTAGGGCAGGGATGGTTCCCCTCACCCCTACCCTCGCCTCCACTTCAAAGCACAAAATCTGTAAACTACTAGGGTTGGAAAAGATGACATCCTGCACAAAGGTAAAGGCGCTGATTAATGTCAGAGGTGGGATGTGCAAATAAGAAATTGTGTTATTCTGTGCACAAACATTGTTTTATTTTCTAAAGTGGTAATTTTAGGTGCCTCCCCCCACCCCCTGCCTCTGTATCCTGTTTCAGTGCTGTTTCCCTTCCACCCTCCCTGAGCTCTGTCCACCAGGACCAAACATTGATTGGCAGCCCTGGGCGCAGGGCACTGTCCTGGAACCTGAAAGAAACCCCAGACATGTTCCCACCTTTGAGAACTGATCACCATCAAGAGCCAGGCTGATTTCTTTGGAATGAGGAAAAACCTCACGAGGGACAGTAATCCACATATTAAACCCTTTATCCTTTCCGTAACTCCTCGTCAAAATGATTGATACCTAATTTATAGTCAGATCAATTCTAATTTCCATATGGAAGGAAAACAAAAAAATTCCTTTGGTCAGACCAATTTAAAGTGGACAAGGGAGGGCGAGTGTCTCTGCAGATCTCTCCTTGGGCATAAGGAAAGTTCTGATCTTTTCTATCGAAGTATGTAGGAAAGAACTTCCACACACACAAACTGTGACACATCACAGTGCAGACAGTCACGTAGCACTGAGAGGAACAGCCTAAGCTGTCCAGCGATGGGCCCAATCTCACAACGTGGTGTGCAGCCGCGAGGAGTGTCCCGCACAGTGCCATGAACGCACAGCTCAAGTGCTGCAAAGCGAGAAGTCCCAGGACGGCTCCCCAAAGAGGACAGTGTTGACTTCAAGGGACCCCATAAGGGCTTGTCATGGTCCATTTCTGGATCAGGATGCTGCCAGACATATGCGTATGTTATTAAGAAAAAGTTTCTAAATAACTTGACTGGTTCATCATTAGCATCTTTAATTCCAGAACCTTTTCATATGGCTAGCTCTGTGGTCCATACATTGACAGAGGTCATTCTGAGGTGTGTTCAGGATATCCAAGGACAGAGCAGTGGAGACTCGTCCTGTAAACTGGTCCTGTAACGTCCTGAAGGCAAATTCCAATTAATAGACTTCCTGAAGAGAGACAGATCCCTCTCTTAAAACTGCCATAGCCCATCGCCAGAGTTTCCCCAGTGTCCCCAATTGTCCCTCTCTTGCCTTCATAACCTCCAAAGCAAATATGCTGATTTTTCTTTTAAATTAAAAAGGGCATTTATGAACTGGGTTGTGGCTTAGTGGTAGAGCACTTGCCTCGCATTTGTGAAGCCCTGGGTTCCATCCCCAGCATTACAATGAAGAAAGAAAAAGAAAAGAGCATTTATATTCAATGCATGCCCGGACTAGTGCCAGGCACACACCAGGCACTCACTAAACAATTTCTGAGTAAACATATTTACTTATAAAACAGTTGTAATACATTATTTTATAATATTCTCTCCATGTTATAATATGTCTTCTTTGCTAGTATATTTTATGAAATTTTCCTCACTTG